TTCTTTAGGCAACCAGTTGATAGGAATTCTCCACATCCTATTGGTTGGTTAGGGATATTTTTCAATTTGATCAGAGACTTACAAGAGCCCGTATCCTGGAATTTCCTCAGGTTGGTAGGCAAACACATCAATTTGACAATGGTTTCTCCCTTACATTTGTATGAAGATTATTTTTTTAGGAGTGCCTTTAGGATTTTGCATTTCTGCAGTGTTATACAATCGGATTTAATATATCATTAAGGGCATACTATGTGTAAGGCATTGTGATCTGAGGATATAAAGTAAAGAATCAAATTCAACTAAATTTTAATAAAACCAGTAACCTATACATAAGAAGTAACAATCTTAATAAACAAAGGATTCATTTAAAATATTTACTGAACATCCACTGGGTGCAGTGTGTCTCCATTGTTGGAGGTATAAAGTACATGTAACTTATGGTCTAGTTGGGGATCACACACAAATACAGAAAACTATCCTACAACAAAATACTAGGATAAGTTCATTAAGAAGTTGCTAAAATTAGAACAAAGGGCCAAGCCCCAGGTTGTTTCTAAAATGCAGGAAGTCTTCCTTATATCAGCTTTTAAAAGTTTTTTTTTAACTGATGAGCTTTCCCATTGTTCAGATTCTAGCTCGTATGAAGCCCAAACACAAATTTTATTTATTTTGTTAGAAATTTCCCAGTTTTATTTTAAACTAGGTCCAGGTAACATTGGCTGTTTTGTATGACATTGTAGCTGCTGGCTGTAGAAGCTGACACCTCTGCCTTAGGGTCACCATTATTGATATCAATAATAACAATAATTAATAATAATAATAGTAGTGGGTATTCCTTTTTAAGTATAAGTTGAACTGTATGACCTCTATATGGTCCTTTCCAACTCTGAAATTCTATGCTTTTTAAAAGAATTTTGTGGTTTTCTAAGTCAATAGTGGCCCACTTTAACACCCCTACCCAAAGGCTATATAGGATACTTAAGTATTTTATAAATTTAATATGGTATATTTTAATTCTTTGAAAATTGATAATATATAGTACCACTAAGTTAACCAGAATTTTTAATTAGATAACCCATTTTCTAATGATTTTGATTAATATTAGAATAATGTTATTTTCTATATAATTACATGTAGAATATATCATCTTTCCATCGGTATATACTCTCTATACTATCACATATAATAACTAATATTAAAACAATAATAACAATAATGATCATGATAATTTATTGCAATTAGTATTTCTATAGCATTTTAAGATTTACAAGCACTTTACATAAGTTATCTCTTTTGATCCTCACAATAGCCCTGTAAAGTAGTTGCTGTTATTATTCCCCATTTTACAGGTGAGGAAACTGAGGATAAGAGAGGTTAAGTAGTTTTCCCAGAGGCCCACAGCTGTTCCTTGACGGCAGAAACTTTTTTGTGAGGAAGTAAGTGATACTGTGCATCCTTGGCACCTGTATAATTAGAATGCATCAGGAGAAAGAGAAGAAGGGTGCTAGCATGTTGAGTGATTCCTCTATGACCGATTTAAAGGGAGTTTATAGACAAGTTGCAATAGATGGTCAAACATGGATAAGTTGCAATCTGCATGATTGAAGAAATAGTCATCAGAACTGTGACTATAGTTATCCCTTCCACATCATGGGAGTTTGGGGTACAATCTGGAAAATCCACATAAAATATTTTGTCCCTCTCTTTATACCAGAGAAGTCTGAATTATTATGGTATTAAAAGACAAAATGTCTTGATATCATATAATGCTATCTGTATATTTTATGCATTTCTGAGTTTCTAAACTTTTTCCATCTTGCTTTCTGGCCATCGTGTGTTGTCTGCAGCTTCCTCAAAACCATCCCCAAATTCCCATTTAATTTCTTATGCCTATCTGTGATATATCAAAACTGCAACAGGAAAAGTCATGATGTAGAAGGGATAACTATAGAAGTCTCCCAAATTCATTTGAGTGGGGGTGAGAGTGAAAGAATAATAAAGCCTGGGTTGCTTCTATGCGTGGATGAAGTAGAATAGAGACAGAGCTCATGGAGGCTGAGGAAGTGGGCAGCTATGGTAATCAAAAGGTCAAGTGTTTTGCTGGAGAAGAGCTACTTTCTGAGGAAGAGGGAGAGTGACATAAAGATACATAGATAATAGGACGAATTTAGACAGAACAGAGAGAACTTTAAAAGAGAGAATAATGATGCTATGCCAGGGGGTAGTGACTCAAAGTAGCAGTGGGGAGCAAGGAATATGGGAACTCCTACTCTTAGCCCTTTATCCTGGTTTATGAGAGCAGCCAGTCTTAAAGAAGGTCCTAAGAAAAGTGATTTCTTCAAGATAAAGCTAAGTTTCTGTGATCACCAGAAGATAAATAGTATGCAAAGAAAAGATCTAACATGAAGAGGAATTTTAGAAGGCAAGGACTGAGGAGGTCTACAGCTAAGTAGGAAAGGGATAAGGATATGGGGAGAGATAGAAGGGGAAATAGATTTTGAAAGTTGAGAAAGCACATAGGCCCAGGAGAGATAGGTCTATAGTAGGTGCAGTGGTATCAGGAGAAAGGGGTGGCCTATTCATTCACCCTCTTCCCCCAATCTACTTTCTCAACTCCTTTACCCTATCTGAGCCCTTCCTTGTCCCCAAATCTCACTTAAGGGCAGGATTTCAGGACTACAATGATACTGCTCAGATGCTGGTGCCTGGGACAAAACTCTCTCGTGGTATTTTAGCACGAGTCATGTTAGTGCTGACAAAATGTTCATTTTAGCATCAGGCCTACTGGAAACATTTGGCCCATCTTTTCCCTTGTATACTCAGGTGTCTGGATTATTTAATAAATTATTATCTTTGCTCCTGCACTTTGTGACACATTACATTTCATCTCAAGCAAATTTAGTTATTGTATTAAGCCACTCTTTTCCATAATCAGAAAACAATCGTATGACAGGATAGCTCCTGAGGTTGCTCTTTGTTTAATGGGCAGAGTTTCATTTACAGGGTCAACCTCAGTCCTTAAGGTTATGCTGGCACCAAAATTGCATGAGTAGTTTGGGCTCTGAATCGAACTTTTCTTGTAAGAATTATGTGGCTGGGCAGCTGTGGAACCTCACAGTTTGCCTTCCAATTGTCAGTTTCTTGACAGCTTTTTTTTGTGGAACAGTGTGAAGAGTGGAGAGCCCTGCTTTTGAGACAGAGAAGTGTTTTCACACCTGATGTGTAATTTCACACCTTGTGTTTCTCAGCAGATAAGTGCATAAAATAACACATCAAATGGGAATAGGGGGGAAAAAAGATCAACACAGAGAAGGCTGCAGGTTGTAATTTCCTTTCTTAGAAGCACTTTGAGGGAACAGAAAATTGCAGAAATCTGGATTTACACTTTTAAAAGTTAGAAGTGTGGTTCAGTAGGAGAGTGAGCAATAAACACGAATCAACTTGCAGCCTACATTGAATGGGATTTATAGAATGATCGAATTGGGAAAACACCCTGACACACTGAGTCTTGAAAGAACAGCTTACACATTAAGTTAGTGACAAACATTGCAAAAACTCTAGTAGTTAATAGAAATTTGAGACATCACATTTAAATAAGGTGAACATCAGTGTGATAGATTGTCCAGGAGGACATATCCTTTATGATATTCTATTCTGGAAAAGGTGCAAAAGTAGTATACCATTTTGGCATCTTTTGGATCCTTCTTTTTCCTTTCTGTATGGGAGCAACTTTATAAGGAGTGCTTGTCACTGTTATATATTGTGCTGTGAAGCAAGGCAGATCAAGCCGGTATTTTCAACTTCATTTTACAGATTCAAAAATTGAGACTAAAGAGGTGAAGGGATTTAACCAAGGTCATACTGCTAATCATCACTGTGGGAAATGCCTCAAGTGGAGTGCTATATCATAATTATAATGCTCCATGATAACCCAGTCTGGAGGACTTGGCAAAGACTATATCCCAGGGGATACCATAAACAAATGTTTAGAGATAAAGAGGTGGCATAATAGTTACCTCTAATCAGGCTCTCAAGCAAGACATGTACTATGTTTTGATCATAGCGAGACAACTCCATGTCCAGCATCTGCAATATTAGATATGCCAACATTAGGTTATTATCATTATTACTTTTTTAAAACAAGCAATCTCCTAATTCCCCTTTGTCCTCTAGAAAATACAGCCTGTTTTCCTAGGTGTAGCTCTCTATGGACTTAGTCCTTATTTCAAGATAGGATCTGTGTGGAACTAAAGTGACTTGCCCATCATTCAAATATTCCAGAAACCGTAGTTAGGAACACAAATAGGTTTTATTAAAAATCTGAGTCAGTTATTAGCAATTAAAAAGCTTTTTTCTAATATATTTTAGGAAGGAAGCAAGCAAGCAAGCATTTACTAAGTGCCTACCTATTGTGTAATGCTGTGCTAAGCATTTTCCTACTGTTTTCTCATTTGATCCTCACAATAACTCTGGGAAGCAGGTGCTATTATTATTTCCATTTTACAGTTGAGGAAACTGAGGCAAACAGAGGGTTAAATGACTTTTCTCAGGTTGCGCAGTGAATAAATATCTGAGTCTGACTTCCTGAGTCCAAGTCCACTGCTCTATGTAATGATACCTAGCTGTCTATTTTAGATATAAAAATGAAAGATGTCTACAAAGCAAAATGTATACAAGTGTTCACCCTAGTGTCAATGTGTACAAGAGCTTTAAGGATATATTGATACTTTGCATGCTTTCCCTTGAATGTATTCTTATAGATGGTATATATCTCAGTATAGTATACTAACTAGTAAAGATCAAGAAAATTTTCCCTAACAAACCATGCATTTAACTTATTTGTACCTATCAGGTATGAAACTATTTCTCAATATAAAGGAAGGAGGGACCTACTGAAAACTTGAATGAGCTGGCAGGTAGGTAATGCGGCAACAAATGAGGGACAGATGTTAATATTTTTTTCTTTTCTCTACCTTCCCCTATTTTTTCCCCTGTCACAGATACTTATGGGAAACTCTTTCTTCTCAACTCCGTGGGTCACGAGATGTCCCGTTGTAAGACATCCATTAGAAGAGGGCAGCCAAATCCCATTTACAAGGAAACGTTTGTTTTCCAGGTAGCCCTCTTTCAGCTCTCTGATGTCACTTTGATGATCTCAATTTATAGTCGACGTACTATGAAGCGCAAAGAAATGGTTGGATGGATTTCACTGGGTCAGAACAGCAGTGGAGAGGAGGAACGAGAGCATTGGCGAGAAATGAAGGAAACCAAGGGCCAGCAGATCTGCAGGTGGCATACCTTACTAGAATCCTGATCATTTGCACCAACATTCACATGTCTCATTTTCCAGATCACTGCTTTTGCCAGATACCTATTCAACACACAATTTAGAAGGCTTTTCTAAGATAACTTGTCCTCCTTTGAGTTTGTAAATGGAGGCCTTGAACTTTTATTTTTAAGGTTTTTATGCTGGGTTTCTTACCTGAACAATTAGTAGAAATGAGAAAATCAAGAAGATGGAAAAATCTATTTAAACATTGATGCTATCACGGCCATTTTGAATTATCTCCATCTGATGCACTTCAAGATTAAATCTGAATCAATTACATGCAATTCTGTATGTGTTGTCTATATCAGTGTTGCGACCTAAGCTCTCTTTAATGATACTATTTCCAATCCCTAGAACAGCTTACATATAGGGGGGGCTCAATAAATACTTATTCTTTTGATTTAATTGCTTCTTGAAAATGTATATTTGACAACATTTATGAATGAATTGTACTTTCAGGTCGCATGGGCAGGCCCTACAGTATTTCTGCAAACATTTGAAGTGCCTATGATTATCATAATTCAGCTGAATTGGCATTGATAACCTTTACTGATCATATATACTTAGATTTCTTGATAGGTATATGTCATGGACTGCAGATTGTTTCATTAGGTTATTAGCATGAATGTTGGTTAAAGTCTATTTTAAATATTTTCTTAGTGCATGTTTATGTTCCTTCAGTGTCCAAGGTTTTGATTCCTATGACTGTAAATTGACAAAAAGAAAAACAAAAGAAGGCTGTGCTTGTACCTAAATTGTAATTATTCCAGCTGTTTCATTTGAGCTTATGTTTCATTGTAGACTTTTCCCTGTCTTTGGGGTGATATCTAGTGAAGGCTTGAGATACTAAAAATGAAAATAAAATCCTTTTCAATTTCATATAAAATTATGTATTGAAAGAAATACTTTAGAGAAACACCTAGTCCAGGTGTTTCATCAATCACACATGATAAAACAGAGGACAAGAGAGGCCTCCAAGGTCACACAGATAGTAAGTGGCAGAGCTGAGGGAAGGACATTCTGATTCCAAATCTACCATTCATTCTTTCGCATCACATGTCTTTCCTGTTTATTAAGAGTTAGCTTAAATGAAAGAAAAAAGAGTGTGCTAAATTATTATTGCGTGTCATGGCTCTCCTGATAATGCCCTGGTCAGGTACCTGGCAACTCTACTGTGAATTCATACTGTCAATTTCTGCCATAGAGAACACTCTATAGCTTTAAATGAATTGGTCTGGCATTTGACAGTTTGCTTTTAGCCACTGGGCAGCCAGGTGGCACAGTAGAGAGAGTGCTGGGCCTGGAGTCAGGCAGACTTTTCTTCCTGAGTTCAAATGTGGCCTCAGATGCTTGCTAGTTGTGTGAATGTGGGAAAGCCACTTAACACTGTTTGCCTTGGTTTCCTTACCTGACAAATGAGCTGGAGAAGGAAATGACAAACCACTTCAGTATCTCTGCTTAAGAAAACCCAAAATGAGGTAACAAGGGCTCAGACATGATTGAACTCGATTTTAGGCAAAAGCAAAAAAGAAAAAAAACCCTTTGTTTCATTTGAAATCATTTTATTTGATCTCCAATTCTATTATATTTGACTTACATTGTTGCCCAGTTATTGAGAGCATGTAAAGCAATAAGGCTGCTCTGCGTTTTTAGATTAGCTCTCCTTAGAAGACCTCGAAGTGCTTTGCCAATATTCTATCCATTAAGTGTTGAGTGGCCTTATCGTTTTGTTTGCGGTGTTAGGACTTGATAACTGACTGAAAGTAGAATTGAGTGCAGTTGGTTAAGTGGTAACACAAAGACTTTATTTTACTTTTAAAATAACTCTTCAGTCTTCTTGTCATGCTCTTTGAAGGGAAAAATGGCACTCATGCTATGCTTCTCTTAATACCTTTACATAAATGTGGCATTGACTTTAAAATTTATATTTGTAAAAATACCTGCATTTATTGGACAGGTAGTTCTTGCTTTTGGCTGTTTTGTATTTCATTACTCAAATTATTCAATGCTGTCTGATAAACACCTCCTACTGTGTTCTTACCTACTTATTTAATAATTTCTGGGAATGGCACTGAACATACTTAGGCAGATGAACACAGCAGTTCATTCGTGTATGATTAACCCACCTTTTCATTGTTTTTCTTTTGCCAGATTTCCAGGAATACATTGTAAAAAAGCAGATTGCATAATAATTGTCCTGCATATGTGTGTTGAGTGTTTAGATGTCTATATAGCTAATAACATTCAACATAAAGCTGACATAAATATAAAAATATGGATTCTAATACAGGATAACATTATGAAGAATTATTCTTTTTGTTGATTTGAAACTTTAGGTATTATGCTTATATTTGCCCAGTTTTTTTTTTTCCTTGACAAAGCCTGGACCTGAATCCATTTTCAAAACTTTTAGATTAGTGATTTTGTATCTAAATTGGCTTCTGGAGAAGTGAAAGATGGATTGGATTTCAAATAGTAGGAAAGCTACTTTAGCCTAGTTTACCTAGCGAATTGTTGATATTTCATTGGAATACTTGAAATTTAAGAAGCACAAATTTTTGGTTACTCAAATGAATTCTTATAGTTATCATATCTTTAAAGCCTCATTTTATAATAAAGTTGTTGAGGGTAAGCGAAGACTTTTGTTTTTGTTTAAAAATTAGCATGACTCAATTCAGATCAGAAACTATTCTGAATTGAGAAGTTCTTTCCTTAACTTTAGTGCTTTTTTCCCTAATGCCATACTGTTAATTTGAGGATTCCTTCTACTTCCCTACTGACTTTTGATAAAGTCAAGTATGCCATTCTTCCAAGAATCTATTTTCACACACTCTGTCCTTTACTGCGTGATGCATAACTATCCTAGACTCTATTATCAATTATTGCAGAACTAGGAAAACTGAGGTCTCACCTCCTTGAACATAAAGTGTGGAAGAATTGTAGTTCAGGAACTTGCAGAGCTCTGATCAGGGTGGCAGTAATCAGATTTTGCCCTAGATCAGATCACTTTTAGAGTGCTGAAAACTTGTATTCCGTAGCCTGTCCCTGAGAACCTAGAATAACACAACGCTCAATATAGCAAGAAAGCAGCAACTGGACCAACCCAAATCTTTCCTTCAGAAGGAAGAAGCCAGAATAACATCAAGTATTAAGTCAAGAAGTAAGTTGGAAGAATGGGCAAACTCAAAAAGGACCACACCATAATGAGCTATCATGGTGGCGGGAAAGATCGACAAGACAAATGCAGAAGAGAATGACTCCAAAACATCTTTAGAAGCAAAAACTTAGCAAAAACACAACTTGGGCACAAATTCAACTATAATTCATGGAAGAGATGAAGCAAGAGTCAAAAAAAATTTTTTTTAATTTTTTATAAATGAAATGAGAATACTTGAGTGACAAAATCTGCAAGAGAAATGAGAGCTATGGAAGAAAGAATTAGGGAATCATTTTGTCTTAGGTGTGGAATGCAATATAACATTTGCAGATCATAAAATTCAATAAAAACAAATTTGCTTATAATATACTTAAAATATGAAATTTTCTTAAAATAAAAGCTACTCTCTTCTTACTCCAAATATACCAGGTCTATAAGACATTTGCTAGATTTAAAAAATATTAACCTTCCTTCCCCCATAGTCAGAACTTTTTATGCTCCTGTTCTGTGAACCAACCAAACATGGAAAGCAAGACATATATTTCCTGCAGTCGAGACTGAGAAGGAGTGGTAAGAGAGGTAGGAGGTGATTCAGGAGAAACAGCATCACAAAAACTCGGAGAGGAAAGCACATCCACTAGAAGTGAGTGACTTACACATCTAACTTTGAGGAGAGATTAAAAAGCATGAGAATTGAAGAAAAACCACTAAAGTTGGCAGTGAAGAGACCTTGAAGGAAATGTTTCAGTTAAGTGAGTAGTTGAAAGCCATATTACAGAGAGTTGAGTAGTGAGTGGGAGATCAGACAGTAAAAACAAAGAGTATAGATAGTTTTTCTCCCCAAGGAATTGAACTGTGAGAGGAGAAATATAGAAAAAGTAGCTTGAGAGGACAGTAGGATAAAATAGGACAAAAAAAGTTTTGAAAAATAAATCAAGGATGATCTAGACATTTTGATAGATGTAAGAATAATCAGTACTGGAGGGAACAAGTTTTTAGAAGAGAAAGGAAGGCATGACATCAAGGACACAAGCAGAGGGGTTGTCAGGGAGAAGCACCACTGCATCTTTCAAAATAGCAGCAGAGGGGAGAATGGAGGATGATGAGATCTGTGTTGTATAATTGGACATTGAGAAAGAGCCTCTGACCAGGATTTAAAATAGCCTTGGCAGAGGCATCATCTTGGAGATATGCTCAGGAGTAAATTGAATCAAGTGCAGCAAGAATTTAGTGCTATGAACCTTAGTATAGCCCTCAGAAGCCAACTGTAAATAGCTCATAAAGCATGGAGAAACTCCTTGTCAAGATACCTGCTGTGACCATTAGAGGGCTGTGTCAGGTTCTCGGGATCGGGTTTAAGGGGGAGTGTAAACATGTATAAAGTTATAAACAATGAGGAGAAAGGCTACTAAGTCAAAAGTTGGAAAAATTGGACTTGGGGGAAACATTGAGAGGCTGCATGTCATAGGGGAAGGGATTAAGCATTTATGAAATACCTACTATGTGCCAGTTACTTTGCTGAACACTTTGCAAATATCCCATTAGTTCCTCACAATAAACCTAAGAGGGAGGCCCTGTCATTATTTCTATTTAAAGTTGAGGAAACTGAGGCAAAGCAGATTTGTTCAGATTTGGAAAGCATTCAGGATGGCATATGGTTCAAACAGAAGATGGTAGCCAATTATTCTGATGGTAGACCCTCAAGTTCCTTATGAGAGATTTTAATTAGATATGATCGATTTAATGAAAATGATTCAATATTCTATTTGAACTATATTTGATGAATCCCTATATGATTAGCATTGATGTAGGTAGGTTTGTAGGATTAAAAAGAAATCCCTCACCTACAGAAACTAAAACTCATTTTGGGACACAACATACGACACAATATAACATTGAAAAATTAGAGAAAGAACAACAACAGAAAGCAATGTAATAAATTAAATCTGATAAGGTGCCAAAATGTATGGCCCAGATCTAGGCAGAAAGAGAGCAATATTTTTAGAAGGCTTCATAAAAAAGGAAATGGACCTTAAAAGAGTGGTAGAATTTGGCCAGGTGGGTTTGCCAAAGGACTATTGAGGCATCCTCTTCTAAAATAGAAAAGATTAAGCTTAGCTTCAAGAAAAGAAGAAATATGCTAGATAATTTCCCAAAGCTCTTTCTACTCATAAGGTTCTACCTGAACTTTTTTTTAAACTAAGCTTTACCTTTGACCCTTTTGGGTATTTTCTCATCCTTTTTTCCCTCAGTGCCCTAAGATACTTTCCCTGAGGGTGTATTGTTCTGGCTTTGTTTAAGTCACTTCTGGTATTCTTCAGGGCTCCTGGTTAATCCCTATTGTGCTTTGAATGTTTGTGCTTCCCTGGAGTCACATTATTCTGTTTCAAAGTTTGCAGTATCATGGGTACACAGATAATCCTCCTACATATTTATAGCTCCTAAAGATCTTATGAAGCAGCATGATGCCTGATATATGAAACTGATTCTCAATCATAAATTCCTTTGAGTATTATTTTCTAAAACAAAATTTTATTCACCCACTATCATTTTCTACCTCCCAGAGAGTTATCCCCTATTACCCATAATATTTTTTTGAAAAAAAGGGAAAAAAAAACCTGACTAATATATAGAAAAAGTCTGAAAATATGTGCAATTTACCACACCTGTGAATTTCTCACTTCTTCAAAGGGGGTGTGTGTGTGTGTGTGTGTGTGTGTGTGTG